CACTGTCCCCATCACTGTTCCCACCACGGTTCCACTCTCCCCCATTTTCTCCACGGCCCCAACCACTGCCTGACTGTCTCCACTGTCCCCACTGTCCAACTGTCCCCTCCGCTGTCCCACTGAGCTGTCCCACTGTCCCCACTGTCCCCACCACTGTCCCCACTGTACCTCTGCCCCATTGTCCCACCGCCGTCCTCGCCACCGCCCTCACCACTGTCCCCACCACCACTGTACCCTCCACTGTCCCACTGTTTCCACCACATTCCCACTGTACCCACACCACTGTACCCACCACCACCGTTCCCACCACTGTCCCAGTATCCCCACTGTTCCCACCATTGTCCACCACCGTCCCCACCACTGTCCCACTGTCCCCGCTGTTCCCACCATTGTCCACGCTGTTCCCACCAGTGCCCCCAGCAGTGTGTCAACGTCCCCACTCTCCCCAGCCCGGCGGCGAAGGGGCGGCGGGGGGGGTTCGAACCGGGAGTGACCCCCCCCCGTTTTCGAGTGGGTGGTGGGTTCAAACCTGTAGTGACCCCTTCCCTGGTTTTCCGGAGGGGAGGAGGGGGGGGTTCGAACTGGTAGTGACCCCCCCCCTTCTCATGATGGACTGGGAGGGGGAGGGGTTTGTTTGGGGGGGGGGGAGGGGTTCGAACCGGTAGTGACCCCCCCCCTGGCTTTCCGGAGGGGGGGGGGAGGGGTTCGAACCGGTAGTGACCCCCCCCTGGTTTTCCGGAGGGGGGGGGAGGGGTTCGAACCGGTAGTGACCCCCCCGGTTTTCCGCCAGCAGCGGTAGTCACATATTTCATTCCCCTGGTCGTCGCCAATGTTCTTGTGGCACCCCGAAGGACACTGGAAACAACGACCATAATTGAACAATACCTGCGGCGCTACAGTAGCGCACCCAGGGCGCCAGAGGAAGAAAACACTACATACGCCCAAACTGTCGGAGGTCCGCGCGGATCCCTGGGATTGGCTCTGGGCCCCCTTGGCGCCGCCTCCAACGCTGCCGCTGGCGCGCTCCGAACCAATACATCCGCGCGGACCATGCAGCCCTCTTCCTCGAAGAACGGAGGAGCGCAGGGCATGTTCTGGCTGCCCGGGCCTGGAGAGGCCCACGTGGGAACACTCGGAGGCCCCTGGCGACCTGCGGAGGCCCAGAGGGGCCTCCCATAAAACCTCCAGAGGCCTCCTGCGAGGAGGATCGATGGGGGGAGGTCCTCCGCTTCTGTGGCAGCTCGAGGGAGCGGGGGACGGAGGGAAAGGGAGGGAGAGGAGGGCGAGTGCACGCTCAGATCGAGCGCGCGGCGCCTCCACGGCCCTGCAGAGACCTGATCAGACCCGCGGCACGGGTCAGGAAGACGACATCACAACTCGGAGGGGCGAGGCGCGGAGGCGGAGGACGGAGCACGGGGCCCCCCAAAGTGCGGGGAGAAACAAGTTGAGCCGTCAGCCAAATCCGCCTGACCAGTGATCCATTCGGGTGGGAGCGAGGAGGAGACAGGCAGAGGGGGCGGAGAGCGGGCCCACCTCAGCAGTGCAAGCCGCCCCCAGGAGGCGAGAGCGGGAGGAGAGAGAAACGTCTGCTACTGCTCGTGCTGCCTGACCGTGCAGACAAGCGCGGCATGAGTCCCCAGCGATCGTGCACGCTGAACGTCCTACGGACGGAGAACCAGGCCAGATCTCACATCGTCCAGCGGGCCTGTGTTAATTGACACGATGACCCCGAGCGGGATTAGCGAGGAGGGCGGAGGAGGAGAGGAGCAGGAGGGGGAGAGAAACGTGCCAGCGAATGCAACGCACAAGATCGCGCCTGCCAGGTTCCCTTGACGGCCCCACCGGACTGGGGAGCATGACTGACAAGTGGCAAAATATACAATGCACTGCCCGCGCTGGAGCGGTATGCTTGGGCCAGGTACAAGGTTGAGCACATTTCCGCCCAACCAACCCACACGCCCATGACGCGCCATCGGCTGCGTGGCCATGATACCAGCCGGCCTTCCAAGGGAGCGCAACACCACGGGCTGGCATCCCTCGGGTCCGTACCAGGGGGGCGAGGCGAAGAAAGAAGAGGAGGAGGAGGAGGAGGAGGGGAGAGATAGGCCACCTTCGACGAGCGTCACTGCTGCTGGACGGCGGTCCGACGCTCCTGCCGCGCCCGCCTTAGCCAAGTACGAACGCGCGGCAATAACAAGACCGAGCGGCGCACCGAATTCGTGACGCAACGACTCCGTGACATTTGAATTCCGCCTTCCGCGGAACATGAGACACAATCGATGCAACACACTGTGAGCAACTACCAGCATTGAAGCATGTCTGTCAATTGGGTCGCAATTGCGTTCCACGCAAGCTGCGGGGACCTCACGTGCCGCGGCCGCGTGACCGACGTGGCTGCGAGGCTTCCCCTGCGCATACATCCGTCTTGGACGGGCGCAGCTTTGCAAAGGAGGAGGGGAAGAGGGCCGCCCTCGACGAGCGTCGATGCCGCCAGGCGGGT